ATAAGGATACATTGGTTAAAAAAACCAATGTATCTTCATTACAGGTTTGATCTAATTGGCATATATAGAACACCCGATCCAAAATACACATTTTTTTTAAATGGACACAGATATTTACCAATAGACCACATGCTGAATCCTAAAGCAAGTCTCAGAAAATTTCAAGACTGATATCATTCAGAGTATTTTCTATGACCATTATGGAATTAAACTAAGAATTAACAGCAAAAAAACTGGAAAGTCCCCAAAGGTTTGGAAATTAAAGAATACACTTATATAAAACCAATATGTCTAATAAAAACTACAACTAAATTCAGAAAATATTTTTGAACTGAATGATAATGAAATATGACACACAAAACTTGTGCTATGCAGCCAATGTTATGCTCAGAGGAAAAAATATATTTTTACATGCATGTATTGAAAAGAAGAAAGGCTTAAAATCAGTAATGTAAGTATCCATCTTAGGACATTATAAAAAGAATTAGAAAACAACAAAGAGAGTCAAGAAAGTCAAAAAGCCCATTCTTTGAAAACTAATAAAATCAATAATCTCTTCTTGAGACTGAATCGGAAAAAAAGACAATGCATAAATTATCAATATCAAAAATAAAAAAGGGGATATCGCAACATTCCTAGAGAGACTAAGAAGACAATAAAAGTATATTTAAATAATTTTTGCCATCAGATTTTAAAAGACAGCCTTCTGGAAGAAGAAGACCCCAAAAGAAATAGAAAATCTGAATAATACTGTAACTACTCAAGACCTTCTCACAAAGAAAACTCCATGCCTAGATGTCTTCATCAGTTAATTCTACTGAACACATGAAGAAATTACAGGCCATTCTCTCTCATGAAAACAGAAGTAAAAATTCTAAACAAAACATTAACAAATCAAATCCAGAGGCATATCAAATATGAGGGTACTTCAAAAAGTTTTTGGAAAAATAGAATTAAAAATATACAAATCTTTCCATAAACTTTTTGAAGTACTCTCATATAAAGAATAACAATATGTTACAAACTAGCAGCATTTAGTCCAGAATAAAGGGTTGGTTTAACATTAGAAATCAATGTAATTCGTCACATTCACAGAATAAAAGTAAAATCATATACTCATCTCAATAGATACAGCAAAAGCATTGATAACACTTTTTATTGTTAAAAACTCTTGGCAAAGTAAGACTAGAAAGGAACTTCCTTAATCTGATAAAGGATATGACAAAAACCAAACCTATAGCAAACATTATATTTAATTATGAAATATTAAAACTTCCCTTTGAGATCAGAAGCAAAACAAGGATGTTTAATATCATCATTTGCATTTAACATTATGTTGGAGGTCTTAGCCAGAATTAACTGGATATTGACATGTAAAAATTAATTAATCTTGATCCCCTATATCATACTATTCATAAAAATCAGTGGATTGAAGATTTAAAGGTGAAGATAAAACAAAATTTCTAGAAGATAACAGAAGAGAACATCTTGGAATAAGTAAAGATTTATTAAACCAAACAGAATAGCTCTAAAGAAAAAGACTGATATACTGGACTACATTAAAATTAAAAACTCATTTATCAAGTATCCATAGAGAGAAAATAAAAAGGTGAGCCACAGATGAGAAAAAATGTTTGTAATATGTAGTAGGGTACTTCAAAAAGTTTGTAAAAAAATGGAATTTAAAAGATAATATGAATCCATGAACTTTTTGAAGACCCCTTTTACAACTGGCAAATAACTAATATACAGTACATGTAAAAAAAACTCCTCTCTTAACAAATGAGAAACAAGATGAGAATCCCAAAAGGCAAGAGATATAACAGACAAGAGATTTAAACACAAAAGATGATATTCAAATGGCCAATTAGCTTAACCTCATTAGTTGTCAAGGAAATGCAAATTACAACAATACCACATCGTGGTGGTTAATATTATGCATGAACTTGGCTATCTTATTCTAAATGTATCTGTGAAGGTATTTTTTAAGATGAGATTAATATTTAAACCAGTAGACAAAGTAAAGCAGATTACCCTCTATAATGTAGATGGGCCTCATCCAATCAGTTGAAGGCCTTAATAGAAAATTATTAACCTCCTTTGAAGAAGGGGGAGTTCAGCCAGCAGATGGCCTTCAGACTGGAACTGCAGCATCAACTCTTCCCTGGATCTCTAGCTTGCAGGTGTACCCCGTGGTGTCTTTCTCTCTCTCATACACACACCCTATTAGTTTTGTTTCTCTGGGGAACCCTATTACACATATTGATCAGAATGCCTAAAATGAATAAGACTGACAATACCAAGAGGCAGTGAACGTGTGCAACAACTAGGATTCTCATCCTTTGCTGGAGGGAGTATAAATTGGTGCAACCATTTTGGATACCTGTTTGTCAGCAGTTACGAAGGCTGAACATACGAGAATGAATACCCTAAGCAATTCCACACGAATGTATACACCCTATAACATATGTTCCACAAAAGATATGTAAAAGAATATACATATCTTAGCAGCACTATTAATAATGCCCCCAAATTGGAAACAACCAAATGCTCATCAACAGTGGAATGGATGAATAGTGATATATTCAAAGGATGTACAAACTCAAGCATAACATGTATCTCACAGATATAACTTGAGTGAAAGAAGTCACACACTATGGGCAAACCTGATGATGCTTGGAATCAGGAACAAGGAAAGGAATGGTTACTGGGTGAGGACATGAGGTGCTTCTGCATTGCACTATTTCTTAACCTGGGTGGATATATTACATGGGTATATTTACTGTGTGAAAATTCAGCCATATATACATTCATGATTTGTGTATTTTTCTGCATATATTTATAACTCAATAACAAAAGTTTATTTTAGGAAAGTATGTTTCTGTCACTGCCTAACTATTTTACTTTAAGGAAGTCACTCCACACCGTGGAAACCCAGTTCCTCTGCCATAACATGCTGCATGGATTTGAAGAGATGGTCACTGGGAAAACTATTTTTAAAACTTAAACGTTAAAAAATTACAACGTACACCTCACAGGGTATGTGCTCAATAATGTTAAATAAAAATTAAGTTTAAGGGAACTACTTCTTACTATGTGCCAGATGCTTAATTATGCCTTATATCGATTTATCCTCACAACCCATTTATACCTGAGTTTACATATGAGGAAACTGGAGGCTCAGAGAGGGTAAATGGCTTGCAGGAATAACCCAGGGCCCAGCAGCAGAACCAGGTTGGGCCTCAGGGATACCTGAGTCAGATGCTGGCCTTAGGCCCACCTTCTCTCTGTGCCGTGTCTCTTGAGGACCATGGCCCACTAACACCTGCCAAGCCAAGGTCCTTCTGGAGCCTTCTTGCAGCAAAGGGTTGTCTTCTCCTCCCAGGCTCTCAGCTTCGTCTGGCTGACACTCCAGACTGGTCAAGTCCAGTGTGGGATCCTCACTCTGAAATCCTCGCCACACCCAACCGGGGGGAGCGTTTCCCCAGTGACCTGGTTCCTTTCCCCCATCATCTTCTTGGTTTCGCTCATTTCCTAGGAGGGGTCTGCCCTCAAGTAATGTGGTCCCTAAACTCTCGAACCAACTTTCTGGATAAGTGCTGCCTCCCGACCAAGCACCTTCCCGCTCCCTGCTTCCCTCCTGCTCCCCACTTTCCTCCAACTCCCCTGGACCTCCCATCTCTCAGCAGAGTGGTCCTCCCCAGACTCTCCTTTTCCCCCACTCCACAGAATGACCAGCTCCCTAGCCTCTGTCACTCTCCTACTTCCTTCCTCTTCCCCACTTCTCCATCCACCCAAACGGTAGTGGTATGGCTCTTAACCTACTCCACACCCACATGCTGGTACAGTCGCCTTGCGCCCTAGCCCACGCCCCCACGCCCGCATAGTGGTCTGGCCCCTGCAGCCCTCTGTCCCCCCCACGCCTGCACAGTGATCTGCCCCTCTAGCCCTAGCCCTGTCCCCCCCCCCCACGCCCGCACAGTGGTCTAACCCCTGCATCCCTCTCTCCCCCACACGCCCGCACAGTGGTCTGACCCCTGCAGCCCTCTCTCCCCCACACGCCCGCACAGTGGTCTGACCCCTGCATCCCTCTCTCCCCCACACGCCCATACAGTGGTCTGCCCCTCTAGCCCTGTCCCCCACACGCCCGCACAGTGGTCTGCCCCTCTAGTTCTCTCTCCCACACGCCCGCACAGTGGTCTGCCCCTCTAGCCCTGTCCCTCACACGCCCGCACAGTGGTCTGCCCCTCTAGCCCTGTCCCCCACACGCCCGCACAGTGGTCTGCCCCTCTAGCCCTGTCCCCCACACGCCCGCACAGTGGTCTGCCCCTCTAGCCCTGTCCCTCACACGCCCGCACAGTGGTCTGCCCCTCTAGCCCTGTCCCCCACACGCCCGCACAGTGGTCTGCCCCTCTAGCCCTGTCCCCCACACGCCCGCACAGTGGTCTGCCCCTCTAGCCCTGTCCCCCACACGCCCGCACAGTGGTCTGCCCCTCTAGCCCTGTCCCCCACACGCCCGCACAGTGGTCTGCCCCTCTAGCCCTGTCCCCCACACGCCCGCACAGTGGTCTGCCCCTCTAGCCCTGTCCCCCACACGCCCGCACAGTGGTCTGCCCCTCTAGCCCTGTCCCCCACACGCCCGCACAGTGGTCTGCCCCTCTAGCCCTGTCCCCCACACGCCCGCACAGTGGTCTGCCCCTCTAGCCCTGTCCCCCACACGCCCGCACAGTGGTCTGCCCCTCTAGCCCTGTCCCCCACACGCCCGCACAGTGGTCTGCCCCTCTAGCCCTGTCCCCCACACACCCGCACAGTGGTCTGACCCCTGCAGCCCTCTCCCCCCCAACCCCCAACGGCCGCACAGTGGCCTGGCTCCCACAGCCCGCTCTCCCCCACACACCCGCACAGTGGTCTGGTCCCCAGTTCCCTTTTCCCCCCACGCCCACACCTAGGTCTGGTCCCTCAGTCCCCGCGTTCCGGGTCCCTGAAGAGGTCGTGTGACAGAGGCTGCGATGGCGGCGGGCGGCCGGAAACACAAGCAGGACCTGGGGCGCTTCGTCTACGTGACCCGCTTCGGCTCGCACCCCTGTGGCAGCGTTCTGCATCTGGGCGGCCGCAGGGCTCAGAGCCGTTGGTGCCCAGGGGTTGGGGCCCACCGCAGCCAGGTGGCGCCGCGTAAAGCGGCGGTGGAGGCAGGAGTCCCGCCCAGCAGCGGGCTGTCCCCCGACTCCCAGCCCAAGGTCCCTGCGGCCCCCGGCGCGGAGGCTGCGGCCTCCGCCTCCTCCCAGCTGTCGGCGTTGAGCGCGCGGAGCGGCCCCAGGCGAGCGGCGCGAGCAGGTGTCGCGGCGGGGCCGGGCGGGAAGGGGCGGGCTCCTGTCATCGGTCGGCTGAGGGCGGCAGCTTCCGGTCAGCCACAACGTATGGGGGACCTGTAGGCCTCAGCCAGCCGGGTTTAGCCCTCCCGTCAGTCCCCTGCAGTCTCCCCGTAGGGGCGGAAGGAGAAGCCCCATAACTCACTTCAGGAGGGCGTTCGAGATAAGCCGGAGATCTGAGAGGAGAGGTTACTGAATGCAACCACTGGAGACACCGTCCCCCAGGGCGGCGGGCCTTGGCATGCTTGTTGGTTGTTCCTATTGAGATTCATTGAATTTGCAAACTAAAATTGTCAGAGAACTGACATCTGTACAGTGTTGAGTCATCCCATCTGAAAATACAGGATGTCTCTCCATTCGTTCAGTCTACTTTTGTGTCTTTCAGGAATGTTCTAATTTAACAGTTTTCCTTGTTATGGGTTTTGCCTATATCTTGTTAAATTTATTCCTAGGTAATCTTATTTGCTGCTGTACGTGGGGTTTCTTCCTCCGTAATGCTCTCTAAATGTTTGTGTATAGGAAGCCTATTTTTTTTTAATCGACTTTATTGAGGGTTAATTTACATATGTTTTGAGGTGGTTTGACAAATTTACATATCCTTATAACTAGGTGCCACCACAATCAAGATAGAGGACATCTCCATCACCTCAAAAAATTCTGCTTCTCTTTTGAGGGCCCATCCCTCTGCTTGCATTTTTTAAGAACAACTTTATTGAGATGTAATTAGTAATGCACACTATTCACCCATTTACAGTGCACAGTTCAGTGGTTTTTACATATTCATAGAATTGTGCAATCAGTAAAATTTTAGAGTATTTTTATTATCCCAAAATGAAACTCTTTACCCGTTAGCAGTCACTCATCATTCCACCTACTACGCGTCACTATCCCCCAATCCCAGCCCTAAACAAGCACTAATCTACTTTCTGTCTGCATAGATTTGCCTGTTTTGGACATTTAATATAAGTGGAATCATGCAATATGTGATCTTTTGTGACTGGCTTCTTTCACTTAACCTTTTGAGTTTTTTTCTTTTTTTTTTTATGGCCACTGGCCAGTATGGGGATCCGAATCTGTGACCTGGGTGTTATAAGGCTGTTCTCTAACCAAGTGAGCTAATCTGCCAGCCCAGCCTTTTGATTTTTATACGTTAATTTTAGGTCTTTTTGATTAACTGAATTCTTTTATTAGAGTTAGTTTTATTATTGATTCTCATGATTTTTCCGGGTATATATTATTTGTAAATAGAGATAATTTTTTTTCTTTTTTTACCCGTTCTTATGCCTGCAATAGATTTATTTTGTTTAATTGCATTGGCTAGTACAAGGTTGTATAGTAGTGGAGATAGTGGAGGTCCTCACCTTGTTCTTGCTCTTAGGTAAGATGCCTCTAGTGTTTCCCTATTAAAAAAGGTACTGGCTTTCAGACTAAAGCATACATTTTTACCCGATTAAGAAGTATTCCTCAGTTTTTCTTTTCTTTTCTTTTTTTTTTTGTCTTTTTGTCTTTTTTCCTGTCCCGCAACGGATCGCAACCCTCAGTGTCGCGCCCTTACCGGACCGGGACCGGCAACGGGATCGCAACCCTTGGCGCTGCGCCCGCACCTCACTCAGCCAGTGAGCGGGAACCGGTCTGTATGTGGGACCCGAACCCTCGGCGGGAGCGCCGCTGCACTCTCAAGCGGTGCACTGTAGCAGTGCGCCACCATGCCGGCCCCCTCAGTTTTTATTTTCTTCAGTTTAAAAAAAAAAAAAAAAAATCATAAATGGGTATTTAATTTTGTAAAAGCCTTTCTCAGATCTGTGAAAATAATCATATTTTTTCCTTAGATTTATTAATATAGGATATAAGTGAATTTTCTAATATTGAACAAATCTTGCATTCTTGAAGTAAGTCCCACTTGGTTATGATGTATTAATTTCTTAATACAGTGTTGGACTGTTTGCTAATACTTTGTTTAGAAATTTTACATTGGTATTCAGGAGAGAGTGATCTGTAGTTTTTCTTCCTTTGTACTTCTTTACCTGGTTTAGGTATCAGAGTTAAACTTACTTCATAAAAGGAATTAGGAAAGTTTCCTTCCTTTTTTGTGCTCTGGAAGAATTTATAGAACATTGGGACTATATAGTCTTTAAGGGTTTGGTAGAATTCTTCTGTGCAACCCCCTGGGCAGAGTACTTTTTGTGGGATAATTTCTTAATAACTCTCTCTGTATCTTCTGTGGAAATTGGCCTGTTTAAGCTTTTTAATTCTGATGGGTCGAGTTTGGTAATATGAATTTCCTCAGGCAATTGTCCATTTCATCTAGGTTTCTAAATTTATTTGCAGAGAAATTTACAAATTAGTGTCTTACAATTTTCAAACATTTTCTTGTGTTTTAGTGGTTATTTCCCCCTTATTACTTCTCTTTTTGTATATACGTGCTTTCTCTCTTTTTCTTGATCAAGTTAGCCAGTATTTTGTCATTTTGTAATTTGCTAAAAAAACCCCGTTTTGATTTATTAACTAGATACTTTGTTTTTCTAGTTTCTTCCTCATTAATTTCTGCATTTTATCTTTATTTCCTTACTCGTACTTTCTTTTGCTTTACTTTGTTCTTTTTATACATTTTTAGCAGGAAATTTAACTCATTTATTTTTATTCTTTTTTGTGTATGTGTTTAGTGCAGTAAGTTTGCTTTTAACCACTACTTTAAATACATCCCATAGATTGTAATATGTAGTATTTCCATTGTCACTATTTTTTTTTTTTTAATTCCATAAGATATGTCATTTTCAGTGTGTCTTACCCTTTTCAGACTGGGGTTGCTTAATAGATTTAAATTTCCAGGGCCTTTCTGTTTTATCATTTTTGCTAGTAAACTAGTTTTATTGTACTATGATCAGAGAGTATTAGTTGTAATGTCTCTGTGTTGTGGATATTACTGGTGTTTTCATTGTGACCTAATTTACATTCCTTCCTTTTTGTTCTTTTTTACCCCCAGAAACCGTGCTATTGGAAGACTGTCCCTTTAAATCATGATTGGCCTTTTAAACTAAGTTGTCCCATTAAATTGCATGTTTGGTACTAAGTGTGGTGTCTGGTCCCTTAAATCACAAACTGAAATCTCTTCACTGTAGTCTATGCTGTGATCTGCTTGGTTAGTTCTTTAGTATTTTTAGATTTAGGGTGGATTTAATCTTAATGTTGGTTTCTCCAGATCTCCTGTAGTCACCTTTTCTAGTGTCCCTTCTCTCCTCTGTGCTGGCCACAAAGCCCTGCTTAGGGTGGGACTGGAGCATATGGGATCATAACACTGAGATTTAATGATTTTTCTCTTCTTAGTTATTTTGCAGTTTTAGCATTCTCTGTCTTCAAGTAATGGTGAAGGTGTGATTTTGCATGGAATTTTTGTAATGTAAAGTTGTTTGGGGTGAAATTTTGGGAAATTTATTCGTACACACCTGCCATTTTCTTCAGTTACTCAGAAGTTCTGCATTGAAGCATCTTGAACAAGAGAAGTGAGAGAGTTAGATTTGGTTAGTTCATGCTGTAGAGGGGAGATTTAATTGGAGGGAGGTAAGACTAAAGTCCAAGCTGAAAAATATATAAATATTTTGTTTGATATCCTTTCAGAACTATATTTTTGGTGATAATTTTGAAGCTTAAAACTGCACTCTCTATAGCTTGGTTGACTTTTGAGAAGGAGCTATGTTGGGAAGCCATCGGAGATACTTAAGCAGGGGCATTATTTTGGACCCATACCCCTCTAAAGGCCCCATTGTTAAAAGGCACTCAAGCTTTTTTCCTGGCCCCTATTCTGGTGATTAAAAAATCCAGGGGTAGTATAAGACACTTTAGTCCTGGGTTTCTAGCCCCTCTGAATAATAAAAACAGATGAAAGATTTATTACTAGGAATAAGAGAGAGAATGATGATGGTAGTGGTGGTAGGGAGCTCTTAAAGGAAGGGGAGAAAGCAGGAAGTGCAGAATGAATAAAATGGATCCTGGAGAGAGACTGTAGTACTTGAATATCTAAAGATCAAAGAGACAAATAATAATCCAGTGCTAAGATGGTGAATTGGAAGTGAAGAACACTAAAACATAGATAAAGAAGCATATGGAAGGAAGGGGAGAAGATGCATCAATTAATGCTGGAGATCTCCATGTATACCAGCTAGAAGTAACTGGGTAGCAAAGAACTGAGATTATGAAACCAGCTTTCTTCTTTTGTAACTTTGGGCTCTGCTGACCTAGAGTGGCTTTCCTTCAGTTGGCTGCTCTGCTGGTGTGGGAGATGACAATAATGCAGTTTGTTCTGAAGTTTGGTTTTAAAATTTTGGAATTTTATGCTCTTTCTCTGTAGCAGGCATGACATGATCAGATCTGGAGGAAGGAGAACTGAGAGTGAGTGGAAGGTAGGAGAGATGGGAGGCCAGAGACCAGTTATGAAGCAGTTGCAGTAGTCCAGTGGAAAGATTAAAGGCCTGAACTAAGGCTCTGGCTGTGGAGGCAGAATGGACAGGATCAAATAACTGACAGAAAGTGAAAAGGCAGAGTTGAGGCCAAGTCTAAAGTCTGTGCTGGGCAACTGGGTGGATGATGAAGCCATTAACTTCAGCAACTATCCTGCTGTGGTTGTGAAACCAGGAATATAATCAAGGGAAGGGGGTCCTGGGGTAGACATGTTTAAACCAAACCAGAAAGTGCTTAAGTGCTTCGGTTTTACTCAGTCTTGGGTGTATTTAATATTAATATTAAGTAGACATTCATTAAATACTTATGCCTAGCTCTCTATGGAGAACAAAGGTGAATTATTTATTGATTCAACAATATTTATTTAACATCTACCACATTGTGGGCACTACATCAGGTGCTAGTGGATTAGACAAATATACTCCTCTCAAGGGACTTATACATGAGAAATGGGAATATAAACTGGCAGGTGTGAGTGCTGTAAGAGAGAGACCTGAGGAGGGCTTTGACAATCAAGTTTAGGGAAAGAAGAGGCATAGAGGCAGGATATCAATGGACATGAATAGAGAAATTGCTAGTGGGACAGTAGAGATTACCAAGAACATTGGCTTCGAAAGCAGAAAGACATAATCTTGGCTTTGTCATTTATTAGCAGTGTAATTTGCCAAGTTAGTTAACCACTCTGATTCTCAATTTCCTTATCTGTAAAATGAGGATAATAGTTTCTACCTTTAAGGGTTACTGTGAAGATTAAATGAAGTAATGCATGTAGAATGCCTAGCGCAGTGTTTAGCACAGAATAAGTGCCCAGTAAATGCTGACACATTGTGTAGAGATGGTTTGAAGAGAAGAGTGTGATTAGCCCAGTGTCTAGCACACAGTGGGCATGTACTAAATATTTATCAAGTGAATGAAAAATTGGTTTTGGACCAGACTGTGGAATGCCTTGGAGACTGTCATTTTTATAGTCACTGAAGATTTTTGAATGCTGGAGTAGTACAGTAATCAGAGACAGGTGTACTTCTGGAAGATCAACTTAAAAGCTGTTTGTGAGATGTACTGGAGTTAAGAGATCCAGGGGCAGGCAGATCAGGCAACTCTTCTAACATTTCGAGCAGGACCAACAAATCAGGCTGGCCCCCTATCCTCACAGAACTTGGGAGATATGAATATATTTATAATTTATATATAGTAGAGGATGATGAATGCTATTGTGGAGGTACAAATGAATGCTTTGAAAGTGGTGAATAATTTGGGGATGAGAGAATCAGGGAAGGCTTCTTGGTGGGAGAAGCTCATGAGATTTACACATGGGGTTGAGATAGAAAGGAGTTACAGGTGGGAAAATATGTGAGCAAAGCACTGAGTATAGATCAGCAATGGGCAATGATTAGAGAAGAACTAGAAGTACAGTTTGACTGGGTCAGAGTGTTGTGTGGAAAGACAACTAGAGAAAGATTTGAAGCATAAGCTGGGACAAAATCCATGGTATACGCTGGAGCTAGCCTCAGTGAAGTATACAAAATAAGTGAAAGAAATAATTTTGACTCTTTTCTTTTTCATTTCCTCTATACTTCTTGACATATTTTATTACGGGTAGACTTGATGGCTCCTATCCCATCCTCAAGGAGTATAGGTTAGGTCATATGGGAATGATGCAATTATATGACTCCAAAGGTTCTAGGCATTTAGAGGGAAGGATAAATATGGGTATATGGAGAACAGAGTCTCCCAGACTTATTTTCCTATGCCATATATACAAATCATCTATACAGTCACTTAGTACATTTATTTAAATAAGTACATTTTCCCTCTTAACTAAACTTTTTATAACACTTTACAGCATTACCTCAGTGGAAAACCTGTACATTTGTCATAAATAGAAATTAATTAAAAACAAGTCTAATAAAGATAAAATAATACTATTAAATTCTAGCTAAATAGGTTGTGGTCATACAGGGAGATTAGCAAGTCTTAAAGAAGTCTTTCTTTTTTACATTTTTTACTGAAACATGTTGATTGTATATATTTGTGGGGTACAGAGTTGAATATCAATACATGTATACAATGTGTGATGATTAAATCAGGGTAATTAGCATATTCATCATTTTAAAACTTAATCATTTCTTTGAGATGAGGACTTTAGATCTCCTCTCTTCTAGCCATTTGATAAATTATGTGTTATAGATGCCTACTTTAACTGTACACCCATAGAACTTATTTTTCCTTTCTTGCTGTTATGTGTCCATTAGCCAACTTCTCACTACCCCCCTCTCCCCCTTTCCCACCTCTAGTAACCACAATTCTGCCCTCTCCTTCTGAAAGTTCAGTTTATTAGTATTATTGCTAGTTTGTTTGTTCCTGTCTTTCTGTCTTTTTTAGTATGAATGACATGCTAGTACCAAACTCAGACTTTCTCGTTAATGTAATCAGAAGATTGAAAAATAATTGGAAAGAGTTTCTCACTATGTGAGTTAATGTTCTTTAGTGCTGTGTCTTTGCCTTAACAGAATTCAGTAGTAGGCTTCTCACAAACTGGGAAATGCCATTCTAGAGCATATTGTAGTTCGTTCAACAAATGGAATGCCTATTGTATATCTCATATCTACAATATTAGTTACTGGATCTCTGGTGAAGAATAAAACACATTCCTCAAGTAAGCAATGTGATAAGTCCTATGATAACTGAGCATAATAAGGTGCTTTGTGAGATCAGAGAAGACTCCCTGGAAAGCTAAATATTGTATGAATAGAAGAAAGCCAGCTATAGAGTGGTGGTAGGGCAGGAACAAGATGGGCAAGGGTTGGAGTGGGGGAGTCTTCTAGATAAAAGGAGAGCAAATATAAAGCTTTCAGGGAACACATGCTCATTGTTTTATAATTTTGTCTTTGGACACACAAGCCCTTAGGTTTTCTTCTAACAGTTAAGATTGGGGAAGGCAGCATGGTTTAGCGCCTGGAGTCAGAGGGCTTATGCACTCTGGGAAACCTTTATTAGTACTACCGTGTGTCTGGTACTGTGGATAGAAAGATGAATAATACATGTGGCCATTACCCTCCAGGAAGTCAGAGCCCAGTGGAGGGAGCACATTGTAAACTTATGCTATAACAGTGTGCTAAGTGCTATAAAGCAAGGGTTCCTAGAGCCAGTGCTATGTGTGGGGTTCTGTATTTTTGAGGAAAGGCTGTAGAGAGGAGGTGACCATATGAGCTGAGTCTTGAAGAACAGGTAGAAATTTGCCTGGCAGGCATATATGTGCATGTAAATGTGTGCACACAATGTTCCAGCTAGGTAGAGCAGCATGTGCAAAGGCTGGGAGGGGAAAGAATAGACATATTTTAGTAACCAGAAGGTGTTTTGTGTAGTTGGAAGCATAATGTACGTATAGAGTTGAACTGAGAAGAATGGAGACTATAAAGACACACTGGAGCAAGACTTTTTTACTAGTTGTTTATTCTGTTGCTAGCCTTTTGGAGATTCACCTTATAAATCACAAAAGGAAGGAGATTGAACTAGATGGATGATTTCATAGGTACTTACAAGGTTGTTTATCTCCAGTTTTCTTGGTTGTTTTCAGCATATTAGCTAATTGGTAAACTGGTAGTACTTAGTGATCAGAAATACACCAACAAGAGTAAAAAATCCCCAAAGAGAGCTCAAGAGACATTTACATGGTCTCTATTCTCAGGATAGTGAATCCTTTAAACTATGTGCCAATCTTGATATTTCACCTTTTCACTCTCTTTTTTAAAATTAGGTTTAATCCAGAAGGATGCATCTAGAAAGTTTGATTTTCCCATACCTCTGAATGAAACTTCCAAAATAATGACAAAAAAGAAAAAGGTATATTATTGTAAAGTGCAATGAGAAATATTTGAATTTTAGACCATTCTCTGTAAATATAAATGTGTGGAGATATTCAAGGCAGTGAAAATAGTTACAAGTTTTGAGCAATTTAATTTTCTGAAATGAGAAAATAGAAGTAATTTAGCAGAAATGGAACTGGGTTTGGAAATATTTATTAACCGTAATAAGTAGTTTCTTCCTGTGTTTGAAGCACATTTAATCAAAATGTAACCCACTGGGATATTTTTCAACTCATAATATATATGTTCCATAGAATATAACAAACTGATAGGCAATGTAATATAAAAGGAAAATGATGGATTTCATAGAAAAGAATAATGTATCTATATTGGTGTCACATTGCTCTTTTCAAAGACAAGGAATGCATATTAAGTTTCTAGAAGGAATGCTGACAAAGTGAACCTTCACTTCTGAACCATTTTCCCTGCTGGTTGTCCAAATGTCATGGTAACTCAAGTATTTCAAATGTATTCAAGATCAGATGCTCTACTAATCTTTGCCACCATATATGAGGGTACTTCAAAAGTTCGTGGAAAACTAGAATTAAAAGATATGAATCTTTCCTTGAACTTTTTGAAGACCTCTCATATTCTGTACTTTAGTTTAAATAAATTATTAGTTGATAATGACACAAAGTTATATTATTTCTGAGCTTTGAGGTTGTTTGATTTATAATCCACGTATAGTATAAAATAGAGTTTAGGGTGACTAACCCTTGCACCAAATGTATTTTTAATGGGCATCTAATCTTCCTGCTATAAGAAGAAATATTTCTCCCAAGAACCAGTTCCTTTTGGGTGAGGAGAAAAGAGTAATAGGCAATACTTACATTTAATTACTGTGTGCCAGACACTGGAGTAAGTGCTTTACATGTATATTGTTTATTAATTGTAATAATCCAATGTATGAAGTTATTCCTAGATGAGATTAAAACACTTGCCCAAGTCAAGCAACTGGTAAGTGGCCAAACCAGAATTTGAGCCTAGACCTATTTGTTTGATTTATAGTTCTCATTCTTTCTATTCTAGTATATTCATGCTCTCTAGTAATTTTGCTTTGGTATGTCCTAGGAGAAATACTTAATTCTTAGCCAGAATAAAATAAATGAAAAAATCCAATCATTGCCCAATTATTTAGACATTGGAATAAAAGTTTCCTATTTTCATTACCTTTCAAAACTGAATGTATTGGAACTATTTAGATAGTACCTTATAGACATTGCCTTTGAAAGGAAACTTCATCCAAGACAGTTAATTTAAATACCATAGAGAGGAAATTCTGGGAAATTGTAAAAAGACATCAGAGATATCAGTAATCATGAGGAAACAATTACATTTAAGTTTTAGTTCTCTAAATGCTACTATTGCTTTACAGTGATTACATCAGTTGACATGCAACACAGTTGAGTCACTCCCAATTGCTTTCATCAAAATGTATTACTCCATTTCTGCCCAGCATTCCTTAATTGTGCATATCTTTTTAAGGTTTCAGAATGGGATAAAGTATACAAACTCATTTCTAGAATGCTTGAAGAAAATGAAAAATATAGGCTCAGGCTGAAATGCCAGAGGTCGTCTAGTGAAAGTAAGTTAACACAATTTTATTGCATTAAAGAAGCCTTGGACCAGCCCTGTGGCTCACTCGGGAAAGTGCTGTGCTGGTAGCACCGAGGCCGCGGGTTCGGATCCTATATAGGGGATGGCCAGGGCGCTCACTGGCTGAGCGTGGTGCAGACAACACCGTGCCAAGGGTTGCAATCCCCTTACCGGTCAAAAAAATAAAGAAGCCTTGCTTCTTTTAACAGTTTAGTTACCCTGGTATCACATTAGACCAGTGATTTTCCTAATTGTCGCATTCAATATGCATAACTATAGAAATGAAGCTACTGTATTATCACTCTTTGTTGTAATTTAAAGTATGAAACATCTTTAAGCAGTGAGTGTAGATCACAGGTGTAGGTGTGAGTGGAAGAGTGCTGAAGGTGAATGTTGACTGGAATTTTCTGAGCAAAGGGAACATATTCATGTGTTAAATGTGAGTTTTAATGCCAACTTTTAGTAAAAGTTAGAAAAATCATTCATATTGATGAAGAAAAACATTTTAACTGCAATGTAAAATTATACATTTTGCATCGCTTCATATAATCATTTCCTTTCCATGGATGCTGTGCTCCAATTTAATGCATTTAACAAAATCTGCCCTTGAGTTATAGCCTTGACATCATTATTTCATTCCTGGAAAACAACTCATGAATTAAACCATGTTCTAAAGTTGAATCAATATTGAGTTGATATTGTGGTCAGAGCAAAATTAGGTGTAATCTAGTATGTTAATTAAAATAATTGGAAATTCTGGATGCTCAACAAATTAACCCGTATAAAATTTGTGTAACTAATGATGCCATATGAATTGACAAATCAAAATAGTTATTTTCTTTTCTTCACATACATGTCCTAATACATGTGCTGTCATGATGAATGCTTCTGTGAGTTGTTTGCACAGTAGACAAATTCTATTTGATCATCAGTAAACCCACAGTATTTAATTTTGTGAAAAAATATTTTCATAAGATAATCATTAAAACAGAATGCCATTTTGTAAACAATGTAACACTGGAAACTTATTACTGTTCATGTAATAGTGCATCAATAGTAGCATAAATTGTTTGCAATAATGGCATGCCAACCAATGTTCAGATTAGTGATATTCTATTTCATTTTTCTTATCTAATTAAGAAAGAGAATGAGGTAGGAGAAGGGATTAAGAGGAAGAAAAGCAATCAGAAGTTTCTTAAATGAAAAGGATAATTGAATAGGCAGAGCAATGTACAAAAAGCCTGAACATTGTTCTGAGTGCTAATCCAGATCACTGCATAACCTTGAACTTGTTGGGTTTTGTGACTCAGCAAAAGGCCTTCTACTGAATGTGAAGTAATTTGGTGAGGATTACTTAACAGCTTAAAATAATATGCTGTGTATTTCAGAAATAGACCCTTAAAGGCAAAAGTTATTCTTGTAATTCATTATTTTGTATTATAATTTTAAACTAGATTCAAAAACTTTTTATAAAGCTAATAATTATGTTTTAAAATGTATTATAACTTTTATTCCTTCATATGTATTTAACTGGGAAAACCATTGCTAAAGGCCAACTTGAATTTTCTTTATATTTTATGTTGTTCCTAGACTCAAATTACACAAGCTGAATCTTCTTATCACCATCTGGTAAGATCCATTTATATAATAATTATGAAATATAGATATATTCCCCTTCCTTTTATATCCTGCCATCTCCAACCTTTAGTGTTAATTAAACACTGCTAATTCCAGCCTATTTCCTTCCTTAAATCCAGTGTTTGGCACTTAGTAGGCACTCATTAAATATTTGCTGACATTTAAAACTTCATTTAGGCTCTATCTCCATCATGCTATTGAAACTGCTCTTTTTGTTGTTGTTCTTTTTTTTTCTTCTTCTTTGTGTTCATATCTCTACTTAGTTCTCTTTCCCTTTGAATGTGCTGCCACATTTAATACTATCTTACTACTGCTTCTTCAAATTTTTCTCTCTTGGTTATCCACAGGCTATATCGTGGCTCTCCTTCTGCCCCTCTGACTGTATTTTCTGTGTATTTTCAATTTGTCCCTTTTGCTACCACCTAATGACAAATCCTGTCCTGGAAGTACTTGTTGCTCTTATTCTCTCTTTATATTTTCACTCTGAGATAACTCATTGATTTTTATAGCTTTAATTACTCTTTCTGGATACATGACCCTTAAGTCTCTATTCTACCCCTGACCTCTGGTCATGTACCTTTGATTTTCTTTAGGCTATTCTGTAGTTACTTTTAATGTCACATGTTTTAAACTGAACATGCTGTCTTTCCCCCTATCTTTTCAATTGTTCCTATCATCTGGGCTCTTCCAACTATTAGGGAGAAATTAAATCCAGTTTGGTGGGATTTGGAAAGTAATGAAAGAGGTAAGAAAGATAGGTGTAGGTAAAGAGAAATTAAACTTTTATAATTGGGAGTGTGAGGAGGAGAGTATATTTTAGACATGAACATGAGCAAATTCATGGAATCCAAGAAAATGTTTAGGTAAGGTATAGTTTGATTAAAGATTAATGTAGTAATTGAAGAAAAGTATAAAATGTTTGGGTAATGTTTAGGTAAAGTATGTAGTTTGATTAAAGATTAATGTAGTAATTGAAGAAAGGTATAAAAGTGTACTGAGAGGGGCTGGCCAGTTAGCTCAGTTGGTTAGAATATGGTGCTGATAACACTAGGTCCAGGGTTTGATCCCTATACAGGCCAGCCAACAAAAAGAAAAAAAATATATACTGAGATTGTATTTCAAAGAGTCTTCTTGAATTCTGGGTCAAGGATTTGTACTTGATTTGGTAGACAATGAAGAAACATGGAACTTTTTTTAAACCTTTTAGTCTAAATGATTTCAAATGTATAGAAAAGTTGCAAGAGTATTACAAGGAACTCTAGTATACCCTTTACCCAGATTCAATGATTTTTAATATCTTACCACATTTGCTTCCTAATTCTCATTCTCTCTCTTTCTCTTTGTGTATAAAATTATTACCCCTAATACTTTTAGTGTATACCCTAAGAATAAGGGTATCTTTTATATAACCATAGTATGGCTATCAAATTCAGGAAATTTAAGATTGATGTAGAACTTTTATATAATCTATAGTATATATTCCAACTATTTTTCATTGTCCCAATAATGTCTTTAAGGGGATTATTTTTCCTGGTATGGTACCATGTCCAGTCCAAGATCACGTATTACATTTAGTTGTCATGTCTCTTTGGTCTTCTTGTTATAGATTAAATAACAATTCTTAGCCTTTCTTTGTTTTTCATGATATTGAAATTTCTGAAGAATACGGTCCAGTTATTTTTCACACTATCCTTCAGGACTTTGTGATACCTTCTCATGATTTGATTAATGTTATGCACTTTTGGCTGGAACACTATATAAGTAATGTTGTTTCTATCTTAGAGTAGCACATCTGGAGTCATGTGATTATCATCGATCACTTATTGATGATGTTAACTTTGATCTTATGTTTAAGTTGTCCATTTACAGTTACTATTTTTCTTGTAATAAGTATTTTATGGAAAGATAGTAAGAGACTATGCAAATATCTTGTTCTTCATCAATATAGCTAACATTTTAAAGCAGCAGAGTTATTAGATCTGCATTTTAGAAAAATCCAATGTCATTTGTGGAAATGTTTGGAATGGAGATGAAACAGGAAGTAAAAAAGAAAACCTGGGGATTGCTATAGCAGTCCAAGTGAAAAATGAAATGCATTTAAACAAAGGAGGCAGAGGGGACAGAGAGGAAACAAATGACTAGATGTAGGGTATAAGAAAGACGATTCTGAGTTTTGAGAATGAGTAAATAAGAAATAAGGAAGTCAGGAGACAGAACTTGTTTTGTGAAGGTACTGAGTTTTATCTTTGATATGTTGAATTTTAGGTGATAGTGAGGTACCCAGGTAAAAATTCCAAGCAGGCAATTGGAAGTGTTGTATAGGAGCTAGTGTGATATCTATGCTGCATAAAGGTCATATGTAGTTGTAACAGTAGTTCTAGATGAAAACCTCAGTGTGAGGATGGAGACAAAGGAAGACTGAGTACAGAATGTCAGGCAATGTCTAGGATACAGGGAAATTTTCCATTTCAGAGTCAGGAATTCTAGGGGCTTAGTCAGGAGTAGTGAGAGAGATGATTATGGAGCTGAAGAGGGAGGTACACAAAACCTGCAGGAGACCAATTCAAATGAGGGCAAAGACCTTGCTCAGTGAGAGTATAGAGATACAAAAGTAGGAGTACAGATATGTCATCTACGAACATTTTAAGAATTCCAGCACCTAGGGCCGGCCCGGTGGCGCACTGGATGGGTGTGCCGCTTGGGAAGTGCGGCGGCGCTCCCGCCCAAGGGTTCGGATCCCACATGCAGACCGGTTCCCGCTTACTGGCTGAGTGGGGCGCGGGAGCAGCGCCGAGGGTTGCAGTCCTGTTGCCGGTCCCCGGTCCGGTGCGGGGGCGACACTGAGGGTTGCGATCCGTTGCCGGACACGGAAAAAAAAAAAAAAAAAAAAAAAAAAAAAAAAAAAAAAAAAAAAAAAGAATTCCAGCACCTAGAAGTAAAGTACAAGTTCCAAGTGATAACAGTCTAAGCAGTGAGTGGCTGAAGTGGCATGAAGATAAAGGCCTGTGATGCAGTGTTTCTGTGATACAGTTCTTATAAATGGGGCTGTTGAAGTCTCTAAAGGTATTGGCAGGAGTTGGAGAGGAAAAGAAAAAAATATGAATTACATATTGAGTCCACCAAAAGTTTTTAATGGTCAGCTAGAGAAAGTAAAATCATTAAAACAGTAGGTACAGAGAATATCTGACGGTTGTTTTACAGTCGTGGAAATGTTAATTTTTTTCAGTGACTATTGTTTGTAATATTTTATATTAACAATATTCAACTTTTATCTTTTATTTAGGATTAACCTATCTTTGGATCTGTTTCCCAAAGAGGATTATAAAGAGTATAAAGATGGAATGTTAAATTGAATCATAATTATTTGTTAATTTTGGTGTGTTCTGTTGGAATTGGGACTTTAATAGTTGAATAGAAGAACTATCTTCTTCATAAATTAATAGTATTTCTTTGCAATTTAACAAAAACTTTAGTTAAATATTGTTATATGCATGCAAGTGTTATTTTCAGAGTTAATACTTATTCCATATACTTTTAAATTAGTCTTATATATAAAATTTAAATTGGCGTATTAGTACAATTGCATACATTTATAATTGCCAACTTTTCCTTTTTATTAGTAAGTCTGCAGCCACTGCTTTTTTCATCCCTTCTTTTAGGTTAAACTTGTTTTAAATTAAACTTGGATTCATTTAAGTTATTTTTGGTTTCTCACTTTTTCTAAACTTCTCAAAAGTTTTTTTATGATAAAAACCTACAATTTACATAGCAACAATTACTTTGGTGTTAAAACTAATGATTATTAAGCCATCTGTTCATCCTAAGGAAAATTAGCAAATGTATGCATTTGTATATGTATACATTATATTTGACTATATTATAATATGGAGTGTTTTAGGAAGATTTTGAGGCAAAGATCAGAGGAGACAACCTTCTCTTTACGAGGCCCTAACAGATATGTTTTTTTTTTTTTTTTTTTTCCTTTTTGTCTTTTTTCGTGACCGGCAACGGATCGCAACCCTCAGTGTTGCGCCCGTACCGGACCGGGACCGGCCACGGGATTGCAACCCTCGGTGTTGCTCCCGCCCCTCGCTCAGCCAGTGAGCGGCCGGTCTGTATGTGGGATCCGAACCCTCGGCGGGAGCGCCACCACGCTTCCCAAGTGGCGGACTATAGCAGTGCGCCACCGGGCCAGCCCCAGATACGTTGTTTTTAAGTAAACAAATGAGAGGTTTAGAACTCTGAAAATCATTTAAAAGTGTTTTTCAGTGAAGTCTCTTTATTTTCTACTCAATATTAAGTAATAATCAGCTGTTACCTATACGAGTTTTTCCACTTTTTGCTGGTACGGTCTCTCTCCCTAAATTGACTCAAAAGCCTAAGTAGAACTGGAAACTTAGGAGGGAAAGACAAAAACAAGCTTGTCTGTGGTCATACTCTGCATACTAGTTGCTTCTCCTTGAGGTCACAGTCCTTTTCTTTTATATCCAGGCTCATAACAGTGATGACATTATTTTGGGGGGTCATTGAGAGGGTGAGATTTCTCAGTTCTCTTATAAAGGTATTACAAAATGACAATATACAAAATTCTCATGAAGGTGTAAGGACTGTAAAATAATTCGTAGTTTTGTATCTTCCTCTAGTTATATAACTTAATTGCTTCATGAGACTACACCAGCCTAGCATTTGTGGTAACATGTTCTAGTGAATACACCTGTTTCCAGTTGAAGGACACATTGTCTGGGCAAATGGCCTAGGTCTTGCCTGCTATGGAGGGTCATGCAGCTTCTTTGCTGGGTAAATTTTCAGGCTGCTAATCCCTGGGTGAAGTTTCAAATTTTAGTTTATATAACTTAAATCCATTGCAAAATGAGACATGTTTATACTGTAATTTATGCTGCATAAAGTTTTGTGTTGTACTGTTTATGTTGTAATTTATGCTGCATAAGTGAGGATTTTTGGTTTGCTTTGATGTATGTTTATATTTATGTGACTTATACAAGTTGACATAGTAATCTGCTTTAATTTATTAGGTGTGTTAATGTTTATTGGATTTAAAATGTGAGTCTAATGATGGATACAAGCTTGGTTTGTCTTTCTGGAACTGTGGAGTAATGAAAAAACTCTCACTGAAATGAATGTTCTAAATATTCTAAATCTTTTAATTTTTGTTTAATAATTTCTAATGAAAAGATGTTAAATATCTATTTTGTTAAATAAAATATAATAAACATAATGACTTTTCTTTGCTGACACATCACTAAATATCAGCTGTGATACTGTGAATTATTTATGGTTTTGTAATTCCAGCAGGGGTTAATAATCCCTGGATTAAAGGCCTCAGACTAATGTGTGGTCCTGCCTTCTCTTCATCTTCAGCCCAGAGTGTTTTTTTTTTTTTTTTTTTTTCTCCACAAGTAGGAACACTCACTCACCAAATCTATGCCTGATTCTTTCCTCTGCTTAGACCAAAAATTTATTTCAGCCTTGTAGTCTAGTATTTGCAACTTCTGTTTTGGGTTCTGCAGTGAGTATT